ATATATATATATATACAATTTCTGCAATAAAATATCAGTAAACAACAAAGGTTTACTAAAAGACTCAGAAAGAAGGATAGCAATGGGTTATCTGTTCTAATTTTTAATAAATCCCTGCCTTGCAAATGAGAATAAAAAAAAAACAAAATCAGTCCCACAAAGCCTGATAAAACAACATGGAAAAAATATTAGTTTTCTAACACATGCACACTTCTACAACCCTGGATCATACAGCACAGAATAAAATTCAGTCAAGAAATTTGCCTCTTTAACAAATCAAAACCAACAAATATGCAGTGAGTCAAGACTTTATGTTAGAGAAACTGCAGTCCTGTGACTGTTTTTGGTTTTTCTAATCTTTACTCTCTTGGTCCACTGTGCTTTTTGCTCTTTAACATTTTACTGCAAGATTTTTCGTTGCTCTGTCCCACCCCTACTTTCATTTTAAAGCTATCTATGTTTTAATATTTCCCATTTTGCACTCTTCCTTGTATACTTTTGCACTCTTCCTTGTATACTGAAGACAAATAAAACTATAATAATACTTTTTTTTGCATACATCTATTACAGGATTTCCTGGGTTCATTAAACATACTGTGTTTCCACTGCTGAAAATAACAAGGATTAAGTAATACACTTCAAGTTTTATTCCCATTTGGTTATGATGTTCTCAGTCTCTGGAAAAGAAGCTCACACAATGTAGATTTAAAGAGCAATTAAGTGTCTATTGTCTGAACTTTTAAGTTTTCCTTTCTACAGAGTTGAGTATTTGCTTTGGTTTTAAAAGCTCTTCACAGAATTTTCAGAATGGTGCAGAAGTACATTGCTGTGAATTATTAGATAAAGCTTTAGAAAACTCTTCAGTTATGGCCAGTCATCTCATGATCACTTCTGCTGCTCATTCCAAGCATGATTCCTCTCTGTACAAGTGAGACTGGCTGAAAATGCAGAAATATCCCTGAAATTTGAAGATTTATCTGTAAATTGACACCTGTGCAGCACTTGATCATTGTACTCTCACACCTTTTATATTTTTCTCTAAGTTCATCAGTCTGATTCTCTCTCACACTCATGAACAGATCTGCAAACATCTTCTGTGTCATTTCTATCAAAGCACTATCCAATTCACAAAATTTTTCTTTAGTTTTACAGGCATTATGAGCTCCTGACACCTCTCTGCCAAGTCTGAACTTTCTTGAATGCATCATGGGCAAGTACTGGAAGCAGAGAATGTGACTTTGCCCCTATATTGAAGCAAGGTACAATGCTTTCATATACATCATTGCCTTAATGTAGCAATACTTAAAAATTCTAACAACTTTGTTCTTTGTCCCATATTCAAAGTTTTAATGTCAAAGTTTATGGGTGACTTATACTATGCGACACATTACCTATAAGGCTGCAAATCATGTCTGTTCCTGGTCTGTCCTCCCATGACAATTTCAGCCACCGCTTCCAAGCACGGTGCTCCTTGCTTCTTGTTAGCTATATCTTCCAGGGCAACTCATGAAAAATGTATTTTTCAACATATTTTTTAGAAACATATAATTGATTTTTGTTTTATTCATATAACAAAACCAGACATACTTGCTTCTGAAGGGAGAGATGTCACCAGTGATGGGACTTACCCTCTCTTTTGAAATAGGTAGTAAGATATCAAACTCAGTATGCATGTCTCAGGGATCTGCTCTCTTTAGCAAGAGGTTTTTGGTAAGATGTTTAAAAAGTCCCCAAACACTACACGAATAAAAACTTCTATGTGCCCTTCTAGTGGAGCGATGATGTGCTCTATTGGCACATCTATGGATTATTCTGGGCCCAAAAGACAGTGCATTAATTTTGGGACTGATACATTGGTCTCCTATGATTATACAGGTTCTGTGATATTGTCCCTCTTCAGTGAATACACAGAAGACTTGATTCTTCTGAACTTCATTCAAGTACCACTTGCAAGATTGTTTTCCATTAAAATTATATGTTAGGGAGAAGATGAGCTCTGTAATCAGTGCTTCTATGTGATACTGACTTTATACCGGGCCTCTTTCTTTATCACAACATACACAAATCACAGCAGTTTCTTAAAAAATTGAAAACAGGGAAAAAAAAAAGGCAACTTAACAGGTTCTGACCCCCTTCCTTCAGGAACCTGTGCCTTTGCCACAGGTCAGCTCTGGGATGGCCCAGGAACCTGAGACCCACAGAGAGTTTTGCTGTATGAAAGAAAATCAGGAGCAGCCCTGTGGGCTGGGGATGATTCTAATCATTGTCATTGAACTTGCTCTGAAATTCTTGTTCAGATACTGTAGTTTTGTCCCTCTGTCCTAAAAGGACACTGCCTCTGCTTGCCTTGCTGGCAAGCTGTCTTCCCTTGCAAAGCACCCTACTCTTGTGTCTCCATATACCAGCTTTTTCCAGTGGTGCTGACTCAGAAACATTTATCATTTCACGCCAGAAAACCTTTTAAGTAAGCAGAAGAGGAGGCATGCATTGTCAATTAAGCTCTAAATTTGTTTTTCTGGGGAAGAATATTGGTTTTTAAAAAAGACCTCTTCAAAGCTTTTCCATTATACTTGATGATTCAGCTCAGGAGCACTGAGTAATGCAGACTATATTGTGCATCTCAGAAGCTGTTTAGAAACAGATTGCATATATGAAATATGTGGATTTTATTCCACCTGTATTGATATAATTGCCTCTGGCCCATTGATTTAATTTTAAAAATCCATTAGAATTGACTTTATAGTTATATAAGCCATGAATACAGAAGAATATCTACCTTAATTTGTTTACTTATGAAAGTGGTGCTATTGGTATTGGTATTGCTATTGATGATCATCAAGCTATCAGTATTATGAAATATCAGAATCAGCACATTCACTTAAACAACTAGAGAACTGTCTGTATGATTCCTTTTACAAGAAAATGACACGTAGAGATGAGTTTAAAAAGTGTTTTTTACTTCACTTGCCTAGAGCAACACCTTTGCTTGTTTATCTTGCATAACCTATTTCCACACGTAATTGCACGATTTCCATAAAGTCAATGACAATTATTAGCATCGAAATATGTCACTGCACACTAACCCAAAGGAATATGGAGCAATACCTGAAGTGCTGAGTTATATTCTCTGATGTTACATATAACTATGTAATAGGCAGTTTGATAGGACTCACAGAACACCTATTTGTTTAACTTCTGTTTGTGACAAGATACTTTTGACAGACTATAACAAATTTCTGCAATGAAAGACCATATAGCATTATGGTCTGAGAGGGAGAGATCAGGGATATCCTCAGTATCATTAGGTGACTTGCACAATTAATACATGAAATGTGTTCTATTTTATTAATAATTTTTTGTGCCCTCACACCATCACTAGTGTCACAATACAAGCATAAATTGCCTCATTTTGCATGCATACTTCAGAATTAGCTTAAATCAGTTTGTGGAACTGAACTAAGGAGTGATTTGAAGGTCTCTTGACAAGGGCTAATGATAAATGGTAATGCACTCAGTTTTGAGAAGCTGAAAGGGGGTATATTTCCAGTATTCATGTTAAATTTAGTTTTGACATCTTCATTTACATTCTGCAAAGGGGAATAGAAAACATGTTAATGAAACTGTCACATAAACTGGGAAATGTTGCAATAAAAACAGAGAAACGGCACAAAGAGAAAAAAGGATTTGAAACAGAAAATAAAACGTGTTCAGAAATTTGCAGACCAGAACAAATAGGAATTTAATATTCCCTTCAATGCATCCAAGGGAAACTTCAGCAGAAGAAAACAAAAAACACCAATTGCCAAGAGAGCTTTAGATACTGAGTTATATAATACTAATGATGATTGATTTTTTTTTTTTTTTGCTTATGGAAATACGGAAATATCTATTCATCTGTGGCCATTCATCACTGTGTGTTTGGATCACCTTATCTGTCCTCACATAGCAGGAAAACAATATTTTTGTCTTAGAGTCATCATTAAATGTGACCAATTTCTCAAACATATTGTTATATCCAAGAAAGACATTGACATAGTAAATTGTGATGATTGACTGATGAGGAATACTAAAATAATCAAAGGTCTTTGGTTTAGATAATTAGTTTTATGGGAGGTCATCAGAGAAGTCTGAAAATGTCCACTGAGGAATTTTAAGGAAGAAGGATGTTCCAGTTTCTGCAAGTAGGTAAACACAACAGGGAGTAAAAATGATAAAATTGTGAAAAAGAAAATTCAGAACCAACACTTCTTTCCAAAAGTGAGGACTATTGAACTTTGGGAATTGTCTCTCACTGAAAAGTAATGAAGTTTCCATTACTCTGGCCAACTTGCATTAGTCGAGCCAGTCCGATTTTACAATAGGGAATAATTCCAATGGCAGGGAGATGGACTAGATGACTCTAAACACTTTTTCTATCCCTAGTTTTTACAGCACAAAGGATATAATCTTGAAATACAAATTGCAATGGGAAATGTGTTCTTCCTAATGGTTACAGATAAAGGCAATTTTCAGACAACATCCTCTCCCTTTTATGTCTCTGCTCTAAAGAGACATTATCACATAGGTTTTTAAGATAAACTAGTAACGTACACTTTAAAGGAAAAAATAATACGTGGAAAAGAGCACTAAAAAGAATCACATTGTGTCTAAAACTACAAATAATTTTGCATTGGCAAAACCAACATATTTTTTTCATTTAAAACAGTTATAGACGGTGCAAGTGAAAATTACATATATCCCATGCAAATTCAAAGGAGTATAAAGAAAACAAAAGAAGCAGGAAAAAAAAAAGAAGAAAAAAAAAAAATAACGCACTCAATCATAAATTTAATTTGGTTAATGGTACAATACACCTAAAATCTCTATATTTTGAAGTTTTTAATTCAACTTTTTTTTTCAATAGCAACTATTACACCATACTTGGAGAGCATTGAATACATTTTGGGTTGTGAGGAGATAAAGACATTTATTTCACTTTTGCAAAGCCATGTTTTCTTCTTTCTTTCAAATGCACAACAGACTCGCTACAACACAGGGCAATGAGAAAGGTACATTGCCTTTATGTCTGGGACTGAAAATAATGACTATATTTTGTTACTAGGAGCCACATTGAGGGCACATTAGATCACAAATAATCTGCAGTGAAATCCAGTAGGTTTTTCTACTTTGATGCATCTTTTGTATCCTTATGCTTGCCTGCATATATATATGTATAAAGTGCACATATGTGTATATGAATAATAATTCAACCATAATATGTAGAAAATGTATTTAATTACACATAATAAATGTGTATGTCATATATATGGCTGAAATCTACTAATAGTTCGACACAAATCTAACTAATTTGGTATCACTGTATATTAACGCAGAATCTCTGCCAATATTGTCACCGATTTCCATAATAAATTCCTTTATTTCCATTAGCTCAGTTATTGAAGAATAGGCTTGGAAATATGATGCACATACAAAACCATGACAGCAAAGGCATCCAGATAGAAAGCATTCCATATGATGGGTCTTAGCATTTCAAACACCTTCCTCAGCCATGTTTTATGACTTTGTTCTGATCTGTTACAAAAAAATTTCTTGTTTTTTGAGCTTGTGGAAAAGGGGGGCTCACATGCAAGTCTAGGTGCAAATGCTGGTTTTATATTTAAGTAGTGCAATAAAGAAGTAAGATTTGGCATAACTCCTTTAAGTTCCAACAGTCAAGAGATACATCAACATGTGGCAAGTACAGCCATATTCCCATTAAAATATGGATTTATGACCGTTCACTTTGGCTATGATGATAAATACGGAAAAAATGCACAAATGTAAAGAAACTACTCAGCTTGCAGAAGGTGACAATGTGTTTTGTACTCTCATTGGCTGTTTAACAAGTTATTCTTTTATCTGAAGAAGACAAAAGGATATCAGGTCAATGGAAGAATGATAAATAAGGAACAATTAATCCACCTTAATGCAAAAGGTTTAACTTGCAGCCTTTTCATGTTCCTTTATCTTTTAAGCTTTTCTGAAGCTTCACCAGATCTTCCATCCATATAAGGATATGATTCAGTTTACTGCTCTTACCATCAATTTCTTGATCCCTCTTGGACTAATCTTTGGAAAATGCCTGCTGACATTATCGAATAGAGTGTGTGACATTGAAGAGATAAACAGAAAAAAGTAATAGTGGCTAAACTAATTAAAAAAATTGGAGGCACACCCCCTGTTAAAACCGTGTTAAGAAAAAAATTGATGAGGCAATGAGAAAACCACAGACCACCATGCACGGTGTCATTGTTACTTCTAGACAGCTTGAGTCATAAGTTATTAAAATGTCTGTAGCTATCCTTTACGACTGTAATGAAACAGAAACATGCTGCAGTAGGTAGCTTCTGGCACAAATTCTTTGTTCAGAACACCTATAAATCTACATGGTGCTTACCATGCTTCACTCATGCATAAGGATGCAGAGGTCTAACAAATAAGTTAAAAGAGCCTTACAGAAAGCATTTCCATCTTCAAGACTATGCAATATTTATTTATTATTATTTATGAAGACTACAATGTAATCCATTATGAAAAGGACAAGTAGATTATTTTTGCTACAGGCACAATGTGCAAAAGTATCTCAAGGTCTTCAGCTTGCCAAGGTGTAATCTATTTGCCAAGTAGATGATCCATTTATACATAAGAAAGCAAGTACTTGATCATTACCCAAGTCTCACTAGGTTATCTACAAAATTATGGTTTTGTAACAGATTTGTCTAAAAACACACAAATACTATCAGAATTAATAATTCCAAACTGACCAAAGCCAGGAATATTAACTTGGATTCACTGTGGTGAAGATGATTGATCACAATTTTTGCTGTATTAATCTTGAGTGATCAGAGACAAATTTAGCAACAATACAGAATATATACAACTGCCCGA